TAGTTTCTATCAGTGTTGCTAACGTGCGACTATTCGCCTGTTGGAGGTGTCTTAAGCTGTGTGAGTACAAATGTGTTTGATTAAAGCTTTAATGTTTCGGATTGGTCTGTTGCTTAGTGTTAATTAATTCTTAAATTTTATGTGGATTGTCTTTATCAATGCGCCTTAACGGAATCGGTCTGTTTATTTATGTTTTTTTTCTCCCTTCATGAGTGCATACGCTAGTTAATATCTATTTGAGAATTACGAGTAGGTTCCTCTGTGGATGTGGCGTTACTCTGGCATAGGCGCCGTAATCGTCAGTTCAGCACCGTGACATACAACAAAATGTGCATTTTCGAAATAACATTTATTCAGAAATAACAAAAGTGGTAGATAAAGAGGATAGAAGGTACAATCAAGGAACAAAAGTACTTCCACTCTGTATGTATTCATAACCATTTGGGGGCAGTCGGGTAGCCTAGTGGTTAAAGCGTTCGCTCGTCACGCCGAAGACCCGGGTTCGATTCCCGACATGGGTACAATGTGTGAAGCCCATTTCTGGTGTCCCCCGCCGTGATATTGATGGAATATTTCTAAAAGCGGCGTAAAACCATACTCACTCACTCACCCGTAACCATTTGCCCGGCAAATAGGCCCAGAAAAGAACATTTCTGCTGAAAATCTGGCAGAATTTGTTTTCCTACAGTAATTTCTGTCAGAATTATGTTTCCTACAGAAAATTCTTGATTTTCTGAATTCCGCATTTACTTAGCCCATTTAGAGGCAAATGGTCATGAATACATTTTGGGATATAAATCAGATCAATGAATCTCACCGAGAGCCTAGAAATTATATGTTTGTTCTTGTTGCTCGATCCCTTCTGTATGGGCAAGTTCGGACTGCTGGCCATCCCAAAATTGTCCCGCCCTGCCTTACAGACTGCAAGACCCATAGCCTTCGATTTAATTTCAATGTAGAAATAATACTTGAATTACCCGTTTACATTTTGTACATACTGTCATCATATTTGATCACAAAAGTATTAAAATAAGTTACCTTTTTACATTAGCTAATTTTAAAATGAGTGCTGCGATATTTTAAAGAAGGCTATTCCTGTGAGATGGGTATTCAACCACGAAGTCTCTGTAGCGTGCACAAGAAAGGAATGACGCGCGTCGTGATCTAGACTTCATCATTACACACTTCAACATCAGTTATAGTTCGAAAACAAGGGCGATTACTGTTCATATGCCTGTACCGTTTCTCTATCTCCATGTCAGGTTTTATCGGTATTGGAGCAGAACTATCTTAGTTTGTTGCAGAACATAGAATACAGCTGCCTATTGTTGTCCAAAACAACGAAAGCATTAACAATGGCCTCGCACTCAGAGTTCAATACTTTTATCACAATGTAACATGAACTGATTTTGTGTGTAATACAGCGTCGAAGTTCAAACTTTGTGAATGCCAGATGTAGCTGGGATGCAGTCTGTCTGTCCGGAAGTTGTAGTGTAAGCCATATGGTACACTGATCCACTCTGAACAATTCGATAAACATGACACGTTGACTGACAGCTTAATACGCTATACTACCCCGTAATGTGACCTTTACAGGGATATTAACCCTAGCTTGTACCATATGTTCCAATGTATTTTCAGGTGAACAATTGACTTGCCTTTGCATGTGTTTGTGACATGCGTTACCAATGGGGCAGGATACGCTCACCTTTTCGCGAACACCTGGTATCATTACTATTTGATAGTGATTTATAAACACATGCTCATGATATAATCGGAATTGAACTTTCGACTCTACTTAATGCAGAGATTTCTATTGGATATAGTAAGGGTTTTATCGCTTTATTTACTTAAATGGATGGTTTGTCGGACTTGACGCCTTGGTTGACGCCGACGACGTAGATCATTGCTCATGATACTGATCACTGGATTGTTTGGTCCAGACTCGATTGTTTACAGTCGTCATCGCATTGCTCGGTTCGGCACGAGGCAACAAATAAACGTTTTCTCTCTTTTTAAAAAAAACTGTGTGAGAAGCGTATGCAATCGGTAGAGGAGGACATACCCTTTTCACAAACACCCCTGTCATCACTCATTTTACAGTATTCCATTCGTATTAGAGGTCTATCATTATTTTACACCCAATTGAACCCAATGGAAGCTGTTTCGGCTGTTAATCGAGACATATTATTGTCTGGCGTTGACGTTTCAAATTGAGTTAATATCGGTAATAATGTATTATAACATCTGTAATAATATAATGTAACATCTGTAATAATATTATGTAAATGAGGGTACCGTATACAATTGATGTCGAACTATACATGTATATGAATATAATGGTAACGGAAACATGTTTACACTGTAAACAAAGAACATGGTCATTGTAAGACGTTTATAACCCATGTTTCCATGGATAATTTGAAGTTTCTTTCCTTTTTTCTTGATGTTTTCTTTATGTAGGCTCTTTACGACTGCCTGCCCATATACATGTTACAGGTTTGATCGATATGGAGTCTAGCAACACTGCTCATTAGAGGTTCAAGCAATGGCATGTGGTCTTCTTTTGGAAATCTCTTTTGTTTTCAGAAGAAATGTTTAACTGTATTGTACAGTCAAGACATTGTGTAACTGTGTATCAGTGCAAACGGGACACCAGAGGAAATTGGAAATAGTTGCAGTAATGCATTGAATTAGTTATCCAGGCACCGATAAAACATTGTATAACTGTGTATAAATGCAAACGGGACAATAGAGGAAATTGGAAATAGTTGCAGTAATGCATTGAATTAGTTATCCAGGCACCGATAAAACATTTTGTAACTGTGTATCAGTGCAAACGGGAAAATAGATGCAATTGGAAATAGTTGCAGTAAAGCATTGAATTAGTTATCCAGGCACCGATAAAACATTGTGTAACTGTGTATAAATGCAAACGGGACAATAGAGGAAATTGGAAATAGTTGCAGTAATGCATTGAATTAGTTATCCAGGCACCGATAAAACATTTTGTAACTGTGTATCAGTGCAAACGGGAAAATAGATGCAATTGGAAATAGTTGCAGTAAAGCATTGAATTAGTTATCCAGGCACCGATAAAACATTGTGTAACTGTGTATAAATGCAAACGGGACAATAGAGGAAATTGGAAATAGTTGCAGTAATGCATTGAATTAGTTATCCAGGCACCGATAAAACATTTTGTAACTGTGTATCAGTGCAAACGGGAAAATAGATGCAATTGGAAATAGTTGCAGTAAAGCATTGAATTAGTTATCCAGGCACCGATAAAACATTGTGTAACTGTGTATAAATGCAAACGGGACAATAGAGGAAATTGGAAATAGTTGCAGTAATGCATTGAATTAGTTATCCAGGCACCGATAAAACATTTTGTAACTGTGTATCAGTGCAAACGGGAAAATAGATGCAATTGGAAATAGTTGCAGTAAAGCATTGAATTAGTTATCCAGGCACCGATAAAACATTTTGTAACTGTGTATCAGTGCAAACGGGAAAATAGATGCAATTGGAAATAGTTGCAGTAAAGCATTGAATTAGTTATCCAGGCACCGATAAAACATTGTGTAACTGTGTATAAATGCAAACGGGACAATAGAGGAAATTGGAAATAGTTGCAGTAATGCATTGAATTAGTTATCCAGGCACCGATAAAACATTTTGTAACTGTGTATCAGTGCAAACGGGAAAATAGATGCAATTGAAAATAGTTGCAGTAAAGCATTGAATTAGTTATCCAGGCACCGATAAAACATTGTGTAACTGTGTATAAATGCAAACGGGACAATAGAGGAAATTGGAAATAGTTGAAGTAATGCATTGAATTAGTTATCCAGGCACCGATAAAACATTTTGTAACTGTGTATAAATGCAAACGGGACAATAGATGCAATTGGAAATAGTTGCAGTAAAGCATTGAATTAGTTATCCAGGCACCGATAAAACATTGTGTAACTGTGTATAAATGCAAACGGGACAATAGAGGAAATTGTAAATAGTTGCAGTAATGCATTAACTTATTTATCCAGGCACCGATAAAACATTACCAACATATACTACAGGAACCACAGAAAACAACACAAGACATCTACAACTTTATGGCTGACAACTTGTTTCATTGCATTTAGCGACGTTTCGGTCCAGATCGATACATCGAAACGTCAGGAATGTAATAAACCAGAAGTTGTCCTGCATAAAGTTGTACGTTTTCATTTACTTACCAACTTCTAGAATGCCAATCAAACAGTTAACACAAAACAAGACTTCCGCAATGTCCCAATATGTATATTAATGGTCACCACTTCCAAGTTTGTAGTATAAAATACAAAATGAAGAGGAATACGTTTTGACATGGGCCCTTTTGTCCAACCAAAAACTGCTAAATTTCAAGATCTTTAACCTTAAATAATTGTCAGAAAATTGTATATTTTCCTTTCAATACTACGCCAAATGTGTGGCTTAAATGTGTGAAATCGTCAACTCCAGGTGAAAATAGGTGTGACCAAATATCTGCATTATCCATCTTCCCGAGGCAAGAGAGTTAACTGACTTTAAAAGTCCAGTTTCCACCCTTGCCGAACTAGGCTGGAATTCCTGGGCTCGATCGTAGCGCCACCAGTGGCTATTACGAGTAATGTCCTTTCTATGCCTCTCGTATTGATCAATCAGATTCAACCTCTCGCATCACTTGCATTTGCTTCAAACAAAACGGTGGCGCCCAGTCAAGACGACCTGATTGATAATCAAGATCTATGTTGTGATCAAACGAGTCTTACATCGCGAAGTGCATTAAATCATGTGAGCACCTTGATTAAAAACATGAAAAGATTTAGAAAATATCTGTTGACAACGAGTTAGCGGTGCACATGCTTTGCAAATCCTACAGTCGACCGAAATCTGCATGACACTTTACGAACCGGATTTCGATTTCGGTGCGCGATTTTGATTGGACTATGCATAGACTCGTTAGTCCAGCCAAAATGTAACTCCATAATACCAGCCTAGTTCGGCAAGGTTGGAAACTGGACTTTTATAGTCAGTTAACTCACTTGCCTCGGGAAGATGGCATTATCTTTCAATACACCAGCTTGAATCGGAGACTCGTTTCTTCTTATATATGAAAAAGGTATTTAGAAACTATATTTTTAGAGCTTTTAATGAATGCAAAATCGCAATTGATATTTTCGAAAATTAATAATTGAAGCATGCATCAAAACAACTTATCATACCATGTCGAAAATATTGTGTTTGTGAACGTTTTGAGGAAAATATTCGCACTGTCAGCGGGTGAAATTACCAGCCATGACTATTCTCTAATACACGGATGAACACTAGTCTATATATGACATACATTGTGCAAGGCGGCGAGCTGCTTAGCGCATCAGATTTGATCTGGTGAGATTGAAGACAATCATGGCAAGTGCGCGTTGCGACCTTTGTAACTCTAGCCTGGACTTGAAGCACATCTCGAGCTGTTCTAGTCGCAGATGGGGGTCGCAGTGTCTTGGATGGTACATGTGCCACAAACCTGGGTCCACTGTCCTAAACACTGGCAACTTCCAAGACAGGCATTGATCATAAAACTTCACATCTTCCATCCCCCAGCCCTGCAGCGACCTGTCAAAGTTTCCAACATCTAATATATCACTTTTATATATTCCAACGACACCGTAACTGAAGTATCGCCACATCCCGTAGCTCTCACCGAACAGAAAGCGTTTGGTTGATTCACCTTCTCTGGCTTGAATTGATCGAAGGTCATACCTGCTGAAATAGATGGGGAAGAAAGCTGACTTGCCTTGTCTCGTGTTCCTTACAACTCGATTCAGAAAGTTAATAGTAAACATCACATCAACATCCATGATGAGCACGCGTGTTTCTTCTTCGAGTTCAGCTATTCCTTGAGCTATTCCTCCAGAGCGGGTAAATTTCCCCCTTGCTTTGACAACCTTAACGACAAGGCCGTCAGACGTTTGATTTGCAGCGTTGAAGGACCTCTTGTATTCCCCTTTTTGATCTCTGAATAACACGACATTTAGCATAAGAGACCCTTTGAAATCCAAAGCTACTGATCTTAACCGTTTGATAAAACGGATGAAATCAGCAGACCTTTTTAACAAGGGAAGGACTATAACCAGATCCAGATCCCTCTGTGTCTTTATTTCTTGGAATCTGAGTGTATCGAAACGTTGAATTGTTTTGTAGTTTGGTAGAATGGAGCTTTTTGTGTGTTTATTGACCATAATATGTTCTACTGCTCTCCCAACAACTACTCTTTGATAGGTGTAGGCAGGTCGAGTACTGGAAATGACGTTCATGCCAATATTAAGCGATTTGTTCAGAATGAGTTCTCTTCCTCTGTTGTAGATGGTTTCTGTGGGTTGAGCATTGCTGTTGGAGAGGGCATGAACTACGGATGCATTTATAAAATCCCATTCCTTCAGTGCGTATCTGCCCTCCCGTACACGTCTTGTAATGACGGGTGACAAAGGCTGTTCTGACAACTGTGTTATGTCAATATAGCTGATGGATTGTGTCAGGTGAACAGTCCGAATCTGAAGCTGCCGGAGCCTCGCTTCGTTTTGTCTTATCAATGCAGTATAAAAGTTGTCTTTCGGCATGGATGTTTTCATATGAAAAACGTTCGTTGTATCTCCATGACTCGTCCTTTCATACATGGCCGTAACCTGGTAATGAAAACATTAACACGGCAGCGAATGAAATTTGTCAAAAATGACACAGATATGACAGGGCCCTCATATAATAGTATTAGATTCAATACATTTTCGATTTTGGAAATTGGATTTTGACAATGTAGGTATGTGTGTATATGCTTAATTTATGATAAGATTAAAATTTTCGATTCCCCGATAATCCACTGTTTAAATCATGATTGAGAATCATCAACACCAATTGTAATGGCCGATTCTTCACATACATAAGCCAAAATTCACTGCTTAGTATCACCGAAGTAGTAACTGGGGTGAGTGAGGGAATGTAATTCAGTTATACTACGGCTGACAGCTGAAAAGCTTATAGTGATACAGTTCTGGGGCGTTTACCATATACAGAAAAGTACGGTTATAACGAACTCAAAGGGACTACAAATTTTAGTTCGTTTTAACCGTAGTTCGTTATAAGCATATATACAGCATAACTACAGAAAATAGTCGGGACCAAAATTTAGTTCGTTATATCTGTCAGTTCGTTATATGCGTGTTCGTTATAACCGTAGTTTACTGTAGGTGAAAACCACAACTTCGAGTATGTGTTGAGAAACCAAGATTCATGGTTTAAACACTATGCAGAGGGTACCCTCATATATATACACAACTAAGCTACCTGTGCACCCACACGTATATAGAAACAACAGAGCAGAATATATAAAAAATACGTCACCTTTTCCAATGGCAAGTTGATTGTGTCTTGCATCAACGTACATATTGTAGAGTTGGCGCTCCTGGTACTTTCTCTCAGTAGCAGGTGAAGTGTTGCCTGGTTCAATATGAGCAAGTGGGGCAGGCCAGGTAGGTAAGACAGGCTAGGGCATTCTGGGTAGACGAGAGATACCGGGACGTGATGAGGAAGAGACAACAACAGTGTCGGCAGAACGTGGAGATTGACGACATCAGCTGTCAACACGAACCATTCATACATATTCTGATGCTGATACAGCTGCTGAAGGCATCCTAGATGGACGACAGAAGATTTTACATCTCCACCTTGCTTCTCGCAGACAAGGCCAGTAACGTACACCTTGTCGTACTGCAGCATCCTTTGTAATCCCATTGTCTCATTTGCATCATTTTCATTCCTTATGATGCCAGCAAATATTGTCGGTGTCATTGGAATACCAGCCGATGCTAAATTCAGTAGGCACCCATATTGTTTTAAGTACGTATGAAATAAAACTACACCACATATTAATCCGATCGTGAAAATAAATAAAGATTTTCTGAATCTTTCAGTCCGTGTTTGTGTAGGCATTATTTCCCCTGTAAATGGGAGATGTACGTGTGTGTATATCGGATGTTCTTGTGTTGTAAGTGATATGACTCAAGTAGATATTTCCTTGTCGCACCGACACTTTGAAATTCGGTGTCGGAAACGTGAACACTCACAACTGTCCTTGACCTTCGGCAGATGTTTAATGATGGCATTTCATCAATGTCCTCATCATAAACAGGTTTCCGCTGATTGGAATGCATCTGTGTTGAACTAATTTCGGCTATATACTTGATAATGCTCAACAAATATGTAACAACCTGCTTTGTACATTAATGGATTGTGCTGCATATTCACGCAGAAACAACAATGTAATTTTAGGCCGTGTAGCATGGGTACAATTTGTGAAGACAATATCTTGTGTCCCCCTTTGTGATATTGCTGGAATATTGCTTAAAGCGGCGTAAAACAATACTCACTCACAGAGGCTATGTATTAATGCATGGCATAATTGTATATCACAGTCGAGGCAAATACAGGGATGAAAGTTAAGGAAACGAAACTTGTGGTTAGAGAAAGTAATCGTCAGCATCACTACATATGTGAAAATGACAGAGTGAAGGATATCAGAAATGGTGACAGGCTTTCTCCTTCTGTCTGGGTTGAAAGGGTCTGTCGGTTTTTTCTTCTTTTTCTGACTCTGAGATTCATTCCATAAATCTGCAAAGGAATCCGACAAATGTAAAAATGGTTACATAAATAAAGGGATGAAAGTTAAGGATAACTGGTTCACACAAATCCGATGGAATGACACTTAAGTATTTAACTTATGACATATTTCTTCAGAAGGAAGAAAATGGTTTTGTTTCTCAAATGCAGGCAAATCGATAACAGTGAATAAGTGTGTGTGTCCTTGCATGCAGTCAGACATAAATGGTAACTAGGAGATAGCATTGTCTGTGTGAGTATTGAAACTTTATACTGGCTTTCGACGTATACTCGTGTAAAACAAAAACTACCACGTTAGTGAAGCACATATAAATGCTTTCATGGCAAAGCAGTGTTGATGAGATGCTGCCTACAAAACCAGCCTTATAATGTGTAAGTACAAAGGCCATCAATATCTAAAGTCGAACAAGTCTCTTACGTAAATATTAATGAGCAAATAAACCGTCGTGCTGACAAAGAGATGAACTCATTAAAACGACTGTTGCAATTATATAGCTCGCCTAACTAGTAGGATGACCTCATATTGAACGTTTCATATAGTTTGTTATTATTATACGTATCTCGATATGTGGTCATCGATATGATTGTTGAAGAATTGACTTCGATATTGTTTGTGTTTTTTAGGTATGAACGTAAAACACAGGTACTGTGTACATTGTCGTAGCGGATATTACTGACAGTGTGCAAAATATGCACACCGATCATCACGTTTATAACTCCACACCGCAAAAACGTATTGAAGACAATTCTAATGTTTAATACGTCAACAGTAATAATCTCATTGCCTGCTCATATAATCATTTATACACAAAAAAACTGATGACAACTATACGAAGTCACGCGTATTCTATAATCTACCAATCAAGAACGTTAGAGTGAGTGAGTGAGTGATTTGGGTTTACGCCGCTTTCAACAGTATTCCAGTTATATCTCGGCGTATCAGCTAAATGGCCGAAGTGATGCAGGTCTAAGACGTTTACCACATCGGTGAAACCCACGAGCACGGGTATGGTACTGACAAACCTAGAAATATAATCGAGGCGAACCGGGATTCGAACCAACAATCATAGGGACGCAACTGTGCACAGCGAATCGGGGCGCCTAAGACAACTGGGCCACCCATGCCCCCCCAAAACGGTCAGAAAAGTTGAACGTTAAAAGACGTGGCCTACCCTAATGTATTATGAAAGTTTATTAGTTACCAAAAACAAATGCCACGGACTCATTTCAATTTATTTATTCAATCATTGGCTACAGCAAAGATGTCGTTGTTTGATATTTGTTCTTGGTTACCCTGTATCTGCAACGATGAAAGCCCAACCTTGTAACACGGCGCTTGCCTCCAATACATGTTTGGTAGCGAAATATTATATCGTTCATAAATGACAGACATGCTGAATATGGTGTATTTTAATTGTTTATTAAATTAAATTAAATTAAGCATTTATATAGCGCTACTTATCCAGATATACTCGCTGCTCAAAAGCGCTCAGTCGTATGCTCTTTTGAAGATGATGGTCTTGAGTTTTGATCTGAAGGTGTTGACATATTCAGATCCCCTGACATCAATGGGCAGTGCATTCCATAGAGTTGCGCCTGCTTTTCGGAAGGTTTTGTCGCCATATGTTGTTCTGCTGTTTGGTGGAACAGCAAGCTGTAGTTGGTTTGCAGATCTCAGTGTTCGTCCAGGTTGGTAAAGGGCAGTGATTTCCTGGAGGTATACTGGGGATAACCCATGGATCGATTTGTAGACAAACATGATCAGCTTGAAGACAATTCTGAGCCAATGCAGCTCTTTCAGGACGGGTGTAATGTGTTCACGCATTGACTTCCGTGTGATAAGTCTGGCAGCAGTGTTTTGCACACGCAGTCGTCTATACAGATGATGTTGAAGGGTACCATACAGAAGACTATTACAATAGTCAAGTCTTGATGTTACGAATGCATGGACTAGGCACTTGACTGATGCCGTGTCTACATATCTTGCTATCTGTGTGATGTTCCTGATGTGAAAGTCTTGCACGTACTGATTACATGGTTATCCAGACTGAGTGCTGAGTCAATGATCACGCCTAGATTTCGGGCACAAGAGTTTTGCTCAACCGTACAGTCCCTAATTTTCAAACCAGGAACTCGTACTTTGGACTGCATCTGTTTAGAGCTGATAATCAAGAGCTCAGTTTTGCCATCTTTAAGTTTGAGACAGTTGCTTCTTATCCAGCACCTGATGTCATCTATGCAGCGAGAGATTACTTTAAAGGGAGTGCTGACTGATGATGTAGTTAACGGTCGGAATACCAGATACAATTGTGTATAAACAGCATACAGATGGAAGCTAAGATTGTGAGATCTTGCTATATCTCCTACCGGTAGGGTGTAGATGGTGAAAAGTATTGGGCCAAGGACTGAGCCTTGAGGCACTCCAAAATTTAGTTCATACTTCTTTAACCTTCTCCATTAATGATAACTGATTGATAGCGTCCTGAGACATGAAGCAATCCAAGATAAGGCATCTCCAGTAATGTCAACTCGTTATTCGAGTGTTGTCAGTTGAATGGAATGATCTATGGTGTCGAAAGCCGCCGATAGGTCCAAGAGCACAAGAACTGCAGCTCCCTGAGAATCGACAGCATGAAGTAGGTCATTCTGCACATTCAGCAAGGCTGTTTCGCTGCTGTGACCAGTCTTGTAGGCTGACTGCATCATTTCACCTGAGTTATTTGCATGCATATGATCGTGAAGACGTGATGCTGCCGCACGTTTCATCACCTTTGAGATAAATGGCAGGTTTGAAACTGGGCGATAGTTACCACGCCCATACATATCTTTTGTATGGAAACTGCAGTCAACACCCTGTCACGACGTAATATGTGACCCCGCTGTGGGTATTTGGGCGGTAGTTAAAGCGTTTGCGTGTCACGCCGAAGACCCGGGTTCGATTCCCTACATGGGTACAAACCATTTCTGGTGTCCTCCGCCGTGATATTGCTGGAATATTGCTAAAAGCGGCGGCGTTAAAGCATACTCACTCACTATGGTTATTATAGTGTGAAGGGGCACGGGTGGTCCTGTCGTCTAATTCGCTGTGCAGAGTTGTGTCCCTTGGCCACACCAGAGACCGAAGATCCTGGGTTCGCCCCGATTATGCTCCAGGTTAGTCAGCACCATGCTCGTGGGTTTCACCAGGGTGCAAAATTTCTGAGACTTGAATGACTTCGGGCTTTACCGCCACGTCAATCTGGCACATCGTGATAGATCCAACAAAATCTTTTAAAAAGCCGCATTTAGCGCAACTCACCCACTCACTCTGATAGTATGTGTCAGTTGGGTCTAATGCCTCTTTGATCAAGGGTTGTCGGTTTAGTGTGGGTTGAAAGAACAACGTTTAGTTCGAGCAGGGGCTTATTGTTAACAAATCGATGACCAATATATGGGGTATATTATATTTGAACCCATGACCACTGGATTCTGAAAGTAATAAGGGAGGTAACTGTGCAGAATGAATTGTTACAATTCACATGACTGTCGCTTTAGCAAGTTCGATCCACTGATATGTTTGGTAGGGATTTATTAACGAAATGGTCTTTTTTCATTGGCAAATTGATATAAACAGGCGGGGAAAAGAAAATATAACTTGATAAGGGGGTTAGAATAACAATTACAAACGTTATCAAAACGTTACAAGGTTGAAAACAGTCGCCGAAACACTGCAAGCATGAGGTCCGAAACACAATTATGATACATCACCATCGAATGACCATTTCTTGTTTGTTCATATTTTGCGACCATAAAACATGCGTGTTTACTTTCTTTTGCCAAGCGCTTTGGGATGTATTTGGATAGCGAGTGTCATTGCACAGAATCTCTCTCTGAACTAATGATGAGGCACTCCCCAAACACCAATATCATGGCAACATTCATACGGCACGTGTTTTCATGTTTTTGACAAAAACGTCAGCGAAACTAAACATTCAGTATTTTTCAATAATAGATGTGCATACATGCATAGTTACATAACACTCATGAACATCCCACATGGCTCGGTGCAAATGGCCTATTTTAACGATGTGTCGTTCAATGCATTCAAAGGTACTGAACAATGGTTGTTTGTAGTACAGTCCTCTTATGGGGTTGTATGTTTGTACATGTGCCTGTGCTGTTATGAGGTGCCCGTTTGACAAATACAAGATAATGATTATAAGTGAATCTTCCCTAATTAGAGGATCTAGCTGTGAGTGAGGCCATGTATGCAGTCCAAACGGACTGTGGTGCATGACACGGTGCACGCTTCCAGTCTAAGTCAAGACTAT